TGGAAAGGTTATGAGAACACATCTCATCTCGTGTAATTTTTCCATTACTCATAAACAACTTAGAAGATGTCCTTCTGGGTTGAAAGGGTCTGTGGATTGGTCTAAGACAATATGAGTCCTGCTCTTTGAGAACATGTCCTTCTCCCTACTGAAATGTATGAAGCTGCCCACAAAAAGAACACTTTGGCAGGTATCTGATTTTTATGAAACTAGTCCCCAAACCCATCAAACATCACATCATACCTCATCTAGTTTCTGACCAGCTATGATGTGATCTATATTTAATTTCTTTTTCATTCTGGTTTACCCTTCTAGATTGAAACTCTGTGTTGCTATCTCTCAAGGGTTACCAACCAGTCTGTCTTCTGATTTATATTCTGGAAATAGACTTTCTTGGGATAGCTCCAGTAACTTATCTTTTGAATAATTATCTTCATGGCTAAGTCTCAGTGATTTAGATCTACCTTCATTTCATGCTACTTTTTAAAAAATTTTATTTAATTTTTTAAAAAAAATTTCAGCATAACAGTATTCCTTGTTTTTGCACCACACCCAGTGCTCCATGCAATCCGTGCCCTCTCTAATACCCACCACCTGGTTCCCCCAACCTCCCACCCCTCGCCCCTTCAAGACCCTCAGATTGTTTTTCAGAGTCCATAGTCTCTCATGGTTCACCTCCCCTTCCAATTTCCCCCAACTCCCTTCTCCTCTCTAATTCCCCTTGTGCTCCATGCTATTTGTTATGCTCCACAAATAAGTAAAACTGTATGATAATTGACTCTCTCTGCTTGACTTATTTCACTCGGCATAATCTCTTCCAGTCCAGTCCATGTTGCTACAAAAGTTGGGTATTCATCCTTTCTGATGGAGGCATAACATTTCACGCTACTTTTGTCCTTGGGAGGGGTAGACTAGACAGATGTAGAGGTTCTAATGCAATTATCGACCACTGTAGCTAAGTAGAGGCTGGATGACCACTTAATGGACAATATGAATGGATTGTAATCTTTCCTGTTGTTGAGTATGATGTCTGTTTAAATACATGCTAATTCTCTGATCTGGCTCTGGCTTTCATTCAAGAGTTGAAAGACAAGTTCAAGACATTTTCACAGATGATACTTCAGTAAAATGTGTATTCCATACAGCTTTTAAGTTTCCATCCTCATTCAAACTTTCTATGGCATCTGCCATCACAAATATTATCATAGCACTGTAATACTCAAGTGTCTAATAAACCTGGGTTTAGTTGGTCTCAGTTATCATAAACTGTTCTCCTCATGACATGTGTTGCTCACAGTGACCACATTCTCTTGGGCCAATCCAGATTTATGTACAATTTCTTTTTCTTTTAATAAAGGAAACATATTTGAATAAGGATGAATGTGGTTCTACATAGGAATATTTCTGAATTGAATTGAATTAAATTTGTTTAAAAACCATTCCAAAAATTAATATTTATTTCTCTTAGTATATAATTGTATTATAAATCACAGTTGATGGCAGCATAAACGTGTCATGACACTTTAGTTGTAAAACATAATTTAGGAATTAGGATCCTGAGCCAAGATTGAGAGGCCCGGCTTTTTCCTTTACCTTGGTGAATAGCATTCTCAGTTCCTATCTTATAATTCCTTGTTATGAACTGTGAATTCAGATGCTTATTTCTCTTCCCTTTCATAGGTATATCAGAGATTAAGTTTAAGTGACTGACATAAATGCATTTTATTATCTGTGACTTGATTCATAGAATGGAATTATTTTCATTATTATGTTAATCTAATTTCAGAATTGGCCCAAGTAACAACTGCTTTGAAGAAGTAAGCTTTAGCTGGTTTGAAGTGTCAATATTATAATGGGGTTCATAAATATCACTTAATGTACATCTTTAAATAATATTTAAAAATTATTACCAGGAATGATAGATCAGTCAAAAAACACAAAATATTATAATGAAAATTTAAAAGGTAAGATTCTTATCCTCCTAAGTGTTTAATTTATACAATACCAAATATAAAGTCTCTGTATTAAACTCATTTTTACTAAGCATATGAATTCGTAAGTGGTTGACTTTGTTTTTTGCTCTTGTTATGGAGTTTTGTTTTCATACAGACTAAAGGAAAATAATTAAAAATTAAAGATGAATACTATAAAACTTCTCCTTTCATGTTCAGTTAAGTTACATGAAATAATTGGGTTGTTGGTAAGATCGAGTAGTAATAGTGACATATCCCTGAAGTCCAATTAGCCACAGCTAATAAACTTCGCAGAATGCACATACAAACAGGGTATGTGTTCGTGCCTGTAAGGCTCAAGAGAAACGTGACGTTTATAAATCAACAAAGACACTTAATGGATCTGGGTGAGTTGGTATTTTCAATCTTACAACCTAACTTATTTTTTGGTGAACTAACAGCTGCTGGGGATCCTGGCCACAAAGCTGTGCTAGACAAGTCTGTAGGTGAGATAATTTTTTTCCCCAGAAATTCATATAATTATAGAATCTCAGGTTTAAATGCATCTAACATATCATATAATCACGTCTCACACTCCATGGATCTGAGGGTTAAATCTCTTCAGGAGGCCAAGCATCATGACAGAAACAGCTACATCCCACCAGTTTAGAAGTAAAAACATTTTGGGGTCTTTTTTCTTTTCTTTTTTTTTTTTTTAAAGATTTTATTTATTTATTTGACAGAGAGAGATCACAAGTAGATGGAGAGGCAGGCAGAGAGAGAGAGAGAGAGGGAAGTAAGCTGCCTGCTGAGCAGAGAGCCCAATGAGGGACCCAATCCCAGGACCCTGAGATCATGACCTGAGCCGAAGGCAGCGGCTTAACCCACTGAGCCACCCAGGCGACCCTGGGGTCTTTTTTCTTACTAATATATACATATATATATATCAATTAATTAGAATCATGTTATACATTCAAATTTGTTCCAAACTTTCACCCACCTATTTTTACACTTAATACTTTTCCTTAGGCATTGTACAATTTTTAAAAACATCTTTCTTATAAATGACACATTATTCAAAGAGGTGCACTATATTTTACTTATCTGCTTCTCTAATGTTGGACATCGTATGCAGTTTCTAGTTTTCCACAGCTCATAATAATTTTGTTGAACAGATTTCTACATAATGATTTTTCTCTTTTAAAAGTATTTTTCTTTGGGTTTCATTCCTAGAAAGAATATTTTGGAGCCAAACAAAAGGACCAAATAATTTCTATTTCTTCACAGCTATTTCTAAATCTCTCATTAACTATTTATTCTGAGTTTATGTTCACTATACTATTTTTTGATCTGTTGAGGGAGTACCTCAGAATAAGGGAATGCAATGAAGCTTCTGCACTTGGTTTTCACACATGAATAAAATTTTCATTTTGGATAATTAAAAAATAATCTTCTTTGTCCACTTATCTTTGCAAGGAAAGGAAATATTTTCTTAAAAAATACATTTCATTGTATTTACATTTTCTCCTCTGTTTCCTTTGGGAACTATACATCCCCAAATTTCCTCATTGTATTAGTATTGCAATATCCTGTAACCAGGAATGATGGAGGATGGACGTTATGGGAGGATGGGAAAAGAAGCCATGAGAAGGCACATAGGAGATATGTAAAGGAGTGGAGGGATCTCATGAATGATAGCACTGCTGCCATTTGGTGATAAAGTTTTGGGGAGGGATTACCAAAGGCATTTAAACTGGGACACTTTTTATGACCTTCTCTGGACAAACATAAATTTATATACATAGGAATTGCCAATAAATGTTTGTTGAATGAGTGAACATTTAATGGGCATTTACAGTAAATAGTAGATATTACATATTTGTGTGTGTGTTTGTATATATGTATGTATATAGATAGTAGGTGATCTATCTTACCTAACAGAATATTTCTTTCTGTTCTCTGATTAAATTTCTATTTTTAAAACTTTAAAATAAGGGTTTCCTTTGCTTGATAGAGCATCATGTAATGAATACCCTAGATCTAGGAGTTTTTATCCTATTCTACTGAAACTGCCCATTTACTGAATGTGGTTATGTTAAATTGTATGTGGAACAGCATGTTGAAGAATAAAAAATATTAACTAACAAACACTGTAATAATCTTGAAAGTAAAATAACCCAGGAACATATTCTTTCCTAGAAGTAAGTTATATTTGCATACTCACTTTATAAATTTTGTCAGAAACTATTAAGCTAGAATACAACCTTTTTCTTCAGAAGTCTATTTATGTGTCATAAAGAGTAAAAACAGAGTGGGAGGACAAGAGAGCTTGGATATCTATGTTTATGGGATGGGGAAGTAAGTGCATTCTTACCCGTGGAGATACAGGAATGTGGTAATTCACCAAGAATTTATTCATTACCTAACAGGGACCAGACACTGTAGACATTGTGCCTGACACTGTGGTAGGCACAGTGAAGAAACACAGGAACACTATATATGTTATGGTAGGTACCAGGGAAGACATGTCACCAATGGCTTGTACATCTTCCGTTTTAAATCACCTGCTTATGATTGATACTTATGACCATGTCTTTCTTTCCACATGTGAGGGTTCAAATGTAGATTCCCTCAGAAGAGGGAATAATTCTTACTTTACAAAATACATGTGAGAGTTAACAATTTGTAAGCTCACAGACACAGAGAAAGGCTCAGAAGCATGGGGCACTGACGTGACTTAGCAAAGTCATGTAGAGTGGGAATCAGGAAAAACACAATGTCATGTTTATAGCCCAGTGTTATTTCAGTAAATTTACTCATTCCAGGTTGTGCTATGGGTGTTTACAGGTCGCAAGTATGAGGTATCTGAGGAGACAGAATGCATTGTAGAGAAAGTAAGAAAGAATTGAAATAAGTGTTGATGCAAAGAGTGCCCAGAGCATGCTCTGCAGTTAGTCACTGTTTTTGTACTATGAAATCTGACTACAATCCTTTATCTCTTTATTCCCTACAAAGGGAATTCAGGCCCCAGGAAGGTGTTTTTCCTGAATGGATCACCTCACACCTCCCAACAATGTGACTGGATTTATTCTCTTGGGACTCACGCAGACTCCACACTTGCAGAAAATACTTTTTGTGGTCTTTTTGTTCATTTTTCTATTTACTGTGCTGGCCAATCTGCTCATTGTCATTACCATCTCCCTCAGCCCCACACTTTCAGCTCCCATGTATTTCTTTCTCACTTACTTGTCCTTTATAGATGCATCCTACACTTCTGTGACCACCCCCAAAATGATCATCGACCTGCTGTACCAGAGGAGAACCATTTCCTTGGGCGGCTGCCTGACTCAGCTCTTTGTGGAACACTTTCTGGGAGGATCAGAGATCATCCTCCTCATTGTCATGGCCTATGATCGCTATGTAGCTATCTGTAAGCCCCTGCACTACACGACCATCATGCGACCGGGGCTCTGCCACCTCCTGGTGGTAGTGGCGTGGATAGGGGGGATCCTGCATGCCACCGTGCAGATCCTTTTCATGGTCAACTTGCCCTTCTGTGGTCCCAATGTGATTGACCATTTCATGTGTGATCTCTTCCCTCTGCTGAAACTTGCCTGCAGTGACACCTACATGCTGGGAATGGTGGTGGCAGCCAACAGTGGGGCCATGTGCTTGCTCATTTTTTCCATGCTACTCCTCTCCTACATAGTCATCCTGAGCTCCCTGAAATCCCATGGCTCCAAAGGTCAGCACAAAGCCCTCTCAACGTGTGGCTCCCCCTTTACTGTAGTTGTGCTCTTTTTTGTGCCTTGCATATTCACCTACATGCGTCCTGTAGTCACCTACTCTGTGGACAAGTTGGTGACTGTGTTCTTTGCAATCCTCACTCCCATGTTGAATCCTATCATTTACACAGTGAGAAACACAGAGGTGAAAAATGCCATGAGGAGTCTGTTGAAGAGGAGGATAACTTAGTCTGTTCCTAATGCCAAGGAAGGGATGGTTTAATAGGGAGGATTCTATCTGTTGTACAGTGTGAAAGAGAATGGAAAATTTTGCAGATCAATAGTGTAAAAAAAAATTCCCATATTCTAACACTGATGAAACACTTAACAGTGGCTAGGCCTTTTGATAGGTGCTTTTGACAGCTTTTAATGTACTTTATCAAAGCCACAGTGTTTACAGATTCAAAAAAAGAATAGAAAGAACAACTATAAATCCCTAGTTTGTTTATTCTAGAGTATTTTTTTTCTCCAAAGTCTTATGCTACTTTACTAAATTTTTCAGATTTGTTACTTGACTGAAATTTTTTACTCCATGCGACTTCTTTTTTTCTTGACCTATGGTAAAGTCAACAAGAGAATAGAAATTCTTAAGTAGATATATCAGAGGGAGCAGTTGGGGAATAAAAGAGTGACTCCTGATTTTTTTTTAGCCCTATGAATGTACCAAAGCAAAGAGGACACCAACAAAAGAAAGAGACTAATTCACAACCTCTTTTTATTTGTTTTGTTTTGTTTTGTTTTTTGGCACAAAAAATAAACTAGAAATCTTGAAATTATTCTCAATTTGGTCTTTTTATTTTTAAATGTTCTTATAGGTCACAATTTTTATCATTTTTGTTTTGTTTGTTTGTTTTTTTACTATAAAGGAAACTTTTTCTTTTTCCTTACCAAGACTTGAACCATTTGAAGCAAAAACAGTAAACATTGTTTTATTTAACCTCAACAAAAGGGCATATGGTTAAGTTCTAAAGGTTTTGCTCTGGAGGTTTGATACCTACATTTATGTCACATGAGCATGTTATTTGTCGGGCATATACACCTCAGGTGATTTATCCATGTGGAAAGCTGGTAATTCCAATATTACTGTCCTCATTTTACAGAGAAACAAATAGGTAACAAGAGAGGCTTACTAAGTCACTTGCCTCAGGTCAAACGTATATGATTTATAGGTATAAAATTCAAGTTCAGGTCTTCCAGATCTCAGTCCTACTTTCTTTCAAATAAAACACAGTTGTCTGGAATATTTATATATATATATGTCTATATTATATATTTATGTCTATAGATAATTAATTCTTCTTCAGTCTTTTATTTTTTAAAAGATTTTATTTATTTATTTGAGAGAGAGAGAGAGAGAGAGAGTGAGAGAGAGAGCATGAGAGGGGAGAAGGTCAGAGGGAGAAGCAGACTTCCCACGGAGCTGGGAGCCCGATGTGGGACTCTATCCCAGGACTCCAGGATCATGACCTGAGCTGAAGGCAATCGCTTAACCAGCTGAGCCACCCAGGTGCCCCTTCTTCTTCAGTCTTAATGATTCCCTCTGTCCGTTAAGAAATAAAGTGTCAAATTTGCTAAAACCTTGTCTCACATGTAGAGACATATTTAAGCAACAATGCTCCTCTCTGCACATGGGAAAGATCAGGTCATTCTCCATGACTACACAACACTTTATGAAACTCTGACTATAACACTCCAGCCCGTGTTACTTCTCACAAATACCCCTTTCTCAAACTCACTTGTCATCTGGAGCTATTTCTTAACTGACCATACAGTAATGCCAGAGCATGGTATACCTGTTCTTGGGGGTGACTGTGTGTCCTAGTTTATGCATGGCTGTCTCAAATCCTAAGACAGAGAAACTTGTCCCACAATGTCTAGGCCTGGAAGATGATTTAACAGCACTTAGTTTACCAAAAATGATCAAGTTGGCATGTGTTGGTGAGAATTAAACATTTCAACAGAATCCAGACGAAATAATGTGTGGTTTATTTTGACAGTTGGACAGGAGCTAAGGCTAAGCCAGGGATAAGGATAGGAAAAGTATTGAGTAAATATTATTTCTAGTTTAAGACAAAGGGGGTTTTGAAGAAGGAAGCTAGGGCCAACAATTGTGCCTTAGGGGTAACTGATGTGAGAAGATGGAAAGGACACAGATTATAAATTGTCAACAGCAAACTTGGAAGGCATAAGAACTGAAAGGAGAAATGTAAGGCAGTCTGATGTTCTCAGTAGATGGAGTCTTGCTGATTTGTGAATAATTTTAAGGAATGTTAAGATATTCCTTTGTAAAGGATCTCATCATCGAGATTCTCTCATGAAGGTTAAATGCCATCTGATTATTTCTCAGATTTAAAACAAAATGGAAGTAAGTATATTTACCCTGGGAAATTAATGAGATAAATAGTATTTGGATCTGTTGTACAAAGACACTTTGCCTTATAAGGACTTTAATTTTTTTATTAATTTTTATTTTAGAGAGAGAGTGTGCACATGTATGTGCATGCATGATTTGGGGAAGGGGTGACGGAGAGGAAGAGAATCTTAAGCAGGCTCCACACCAAGTATGGAATAGCTTATATGGGCTTCCAGTTCTGTGAAAATTTCAGGCATTAAGTGAGGGAGTGATCTAACCCTTATCGAAGGCTATGATGCATACATTTTGATAGGGCTTCATGCCTTAAGTCTCCTAATGTAGTAAGTTTTAATAGATCTCTATGCCTTTGATACAAAAGAAAATGGGACTGAATAAGGGTTAAGCAACAATAGCAAGTCTTTTAGACTCTGCCTTCTCTCCTCATCCCACTTCACAATACTCTTTGCTAGCATAATATAGAAACGCCCCAAAATAGAACTGTTCATTAGCTGCAATGTGAAGATTGTCCTTGAGGCATTCTGTTCTTATTTTGGGGTTCACTTTCTTCTGTTCAGCTCTCCCCTGAGCTCTGCTTCCCAGTCTACTTGTACTTTCCTGATTCTTCTTGGGTCAGAAGAAAGCCACTTGATCTGATTTCTACAGAGGTAATTCCCTTCATGGATGTCATGTAAAGTGGGATGTAATGGGCTCAGGAAATGCAATTCAAAAGGTCACATTTGAAAGATAGTGACATATGGGTGAGAGATATTTGCAGGAAAAATAAACAACTCAATTGTTGAGACTGACAGTCTGGGTATGAGGGTAGCACTATGAAGAGCTGTCATTTCTATAAGGCTTTTTCTATCGCTAGTCCATAGTCTTAATATTTATTACTTGAAAATGGTGGCTCCAAGGTCAATTAAGTGTAGGAAATTCTTATTTCATTCATTCAAAGAATTCTGTTGAGTGCCTGCAGTGTGCCAGAGAGCTTCTGGGGGCTTGGTATAAGGTATTGAATAATACGAACAGAGGCTGTGTTTGTATGGAACTTAAATTCCCATGAGGAACCGATGGTTAATAAGCAAGTTAACTCATGAGTGAAAAATGTAATTGTGTTAGTAGTAAGTATGATGAACAACATTTTATTCAGGGGGCGTTGCAGAAGAGAACAATTGGAAATGGATGTGTGTGGTTGTTTGAAGCCCAGGTAGAATTTTACTTATGCTCAAGTTTAATCACATTATTTCCCCCAACCCTGTTCTTCTTATAAATAGGTTATCTAACACACGAATTTGCAGTGGGCACTGGGAACCATGCTGTAAATGTAGTATATCAATATTTTTTTACTATTGAAGGTGAAAAAAGAATGAAGTCTATAACTCCAAATATTTCTAAATGGAAAACATGTTATTTTGGAATACTAATTGTTATGGAGCAAGAAAGAACTGAGTCCTTATTTTTTCTAGCTGAGGTACATTTTTTAATCCTTAATAACGGCATGTCTCCTGCAATTGGATATGACACAATTTTAATAATAGTCTTAAAAGATGAAGGTGACACCAGGCTAAAGTTAGAACAATATGGTCCCAGGACTTGCCTGGTATATTGACATTTCTTTATCTGTATCACTAGGCAGAGGGATTGCCATATGGCCTTTCTGTTATTGAAGAAGAGAGTTTACTTGTGGGCAGATAATTGAATGGTTAAATGTAATGCCAGGATCTGGTGGTGTGTTTGTGGAGCATCAGCCTGGCCTGGATCCAGTGCAGCTTTGCCCCTGGGAAAAACAGATCACTGCAGGGGTCAGATAAGAATTCACTGGTATGGTGATTAGCTCCTGTCACTAGAGACACAGCCTCCAGGGTATGCACTTGGAATGATGCAAGTCTGCACATTTTGAAATTCTGTGCCATTTGAAAATATCACCCTGCCCTCTTTTAGCTCAAATTTATTACATGAAGGAAAACATCTTATTAAATGGTGTTTCTTCTAAGATGTGAGTTGGAAACGGTTTACAAATTAAGCTCAAAATACAGCCAAATGGTGGGCACAGTTCCATAAATTATTTATAAATAGATTATCTGCCTCCCCAACCCTGCAACCTTTCCCATTTAGGTCAAATTTGAATTCTTCTGCCATCTACAAGGTTTGTTACCTATTAAAGCCCTTGGACGCTTAGAGCAGATGTTTTAAATCTTTCTTTAAAAATCATTAGAAACTCTGAACCTATCAAAACAAATTCCCATTAAGTGCTTAGATGATTTGTTTCCAGAGCAGGTCCTGATTTACTTGGATCTGCTAAGTTGAAACTCTAATAAGTAAAAACCTGTAGCTCTTTTGTTGATGAAAGTTCATGTAAGCAGATCCTGGATGGGGCCAGAACTTTGGTTACCTTGACATTATCCTGGAATATTTATTGTATTATGTCCGCCTTCTACTTCCTGGGACCGTCAGTTAACTGCCTTTTGGAGGTCGCAAGGATGACATCAGGTTGAGTTCTGGAGGTAACCTGAACAAATTACTTGAGTATTAAACATCTTCTTATTAATTTGAATTACTATTTTTGAAATTATTGAAACATTCGAATCCCTTTACATATATACACAATTATGTATGTACATATATTAAGTATAATTATACTTAAAATGTATCAGTAGTTCATCTGTTTTGTCTATACTCACAAACTGTGCCTTTGGATAGAAAGCCTTAAGCTATCAACAGTTTTGGGCTGGATTTACTTTAATCGTTCTTTGCAAATTATCAAAATTTAAATGTCTGCCTAATGCAGGTCATGAGTTTAACAACTCTAAGAGTGTGTTTAAAGGCAGTGATTCAAC